AAAAAGTCCCAAAAAGCCCAAACAAAAAAAACCAAACCACTATCTCACCCTCCACTGTGAAGACTGCAGGACTTAACCATATGGGCGGGCTGCATGGTAGACTTCTGAAGATCTTCTTATAAAAGAGATGGCTGTGAGTCATCCTGAGACCTACCACCAACTGATCAGGGAGCGCAGAAGCACCTCAGAGAAAAGTCTACCTGATATAGATGGGGTGGAAACAAACTAAAAAATCTAAGACATCAGAGCCTCAGATTTTTCACAATTTGGATGTGTGTCAATATTAAAGTGGAAAAAGTAGGAACTTGATAAAAAGATCTGATAGAAAAGCAAAAGAGGCATGTAAGTGATAACTAACTTGATAAAGAACTAAAAGGAATAATCTAATTAAAGCTGATCCACATGGGTTTCTGGAAAACAGATCTTGTCAAGCTAACCTGATATCATTTTCTGATGTGATTACAAATTGGACTGCTAAAGGCAACCATCTTGATGGACGCCTGTAAGAGAACCGGCTTTGTACCACACCATAGTTTGACCAAAAAGCTAAAAAGCGTAAGAGATGGGATTCATCCACAGTAATTATAGCTGTCTAAGAGTCTGGCATCTTGTCTTAACTTCTCTATGTTCCCATTACAGCCAATGAAAAGAAAAAGGTACTGTTGAAAAGCGATTTATGACTTTTCAGATAAGTCCACTACATCTTTCTGTGAAGTTCTCCATCCCTCTCCATTGTCTATTAAGAGCTCAGAAAACTACCAACCATTAGAAGCTAATTTTTGGATGGCTAGAATTAGATATGATGAATCAGAACCGCATCTTAAACTACTTTAAAAGTACATAGAAGATACAGCTAAGCCATCATTACATGATTGGGGTACAAGGCACTGGTATTGGAATTGGTTATTGCCTCCTAAACTATCTTTCATTTTTGTTTAAAAAAAAAATCAATATTGGAAGATGACTAGAAAATGGAAAATAATAAAGAAGACAGTTGGATTAGGTGAGCGTAACCAGACACTACATACTTGAATATAGTCAACAGAAAGGCCATAGATTGAGGAACAAGTATAATGTGACGGACTTAATGGGGGAGGACTCTACTCTGGGAAAAAGAGACCCTAAAGAGGAGGCAAGGATTTTGGAATGGAGGACATGATGAGTAACCAGATTACTACGAATTTCTAGAGCTGTGCAGTAACAAAAAGCTACTATGTTCACCAGATGTGCAAACAACAAACAGGAGCAGGGAGGTTATGCTATCTTATTTGGCATCAGTGAAATGACTATTAGTTTCACTGAGTTCATGGTGTTGTTTTAAGAAAGACTATGAAAAATTCCATGGATTATGAGGAAGCCAGGGGAACAATTACGGTATTAGGAAACATGTCTTACTGCAAGAGACTCAAGGCGCTCAATCAATTAACTTATCAAAGAGAAAGTTAAAGAATTATTTGATCACAGTCTACAAGTGCTTACCATAGGGAACAAAAATTTGATAATAGAGGGCTCTTCAATCTAGCAGGCAAAGGCAGAACAAGATCCAAGGGCTAGAAGTTACAGCAAGACTAATTCAGTCTAAAAATAAGGCGCAAATCTTAAACACTCAGGGAATAACTTGAAATAACTTGCCAAGAACTGAGATTTGTTTTCCACCACCAGAAAATAAGTTTTAATCAACACTTGGCCTTGTTACAACTTTATACTTCTATTTCTAAGCTCATTAATACATTCATTGTGAGAATCTCACAACGTTACTGTGGAGAAAAAGAACAAATGTTGTAAGTTGGGAAGCGTTCACTGCAGTATTCATACACAGCCAAGAGATTTCTTTTCCATTTGATCACCGAGTCACAGACCCTCTACTGTGAAACTTGCCTAACCGAAACACGTTCTTACTACTCCGCACTATGCAATCCTTTTTGATTAATGACTACTAACTCAAAGTAGATTGCACTAAAATTAGGAAGCAGGAAGGAATCATAATCCGCAATTATCCTTCGCAGAAATACCTCAATACAATACTTTAGAGTCATTTTAGGCGGACCATTGTTTTCCAAATGTAAAGGTAAAACACAAATCACAATATGGTAAAGATCTCTCAGTAGGCAATTAAAAATTAATCAGCTAATTAGATCAAATGAACGAGAAAATAAGGCTCAGGAAGACATCCATTCTAATTAACATAATATTAACTTACAAAAGACTTGTTCAGACAAAAAAAAGATCATCTTTATTTCAAATATCAAACCAATCAATAAAAGGAAACAAACTGTTATTTCTTACCTTGTTATCCCCATAACCAAAGCCAAAAGGAAATGACAGTAATAGTGAGTCAACTGCCTGTGCAACTGTATTCATTTCTTATTATTTCTAACCTTGTTAACTATTTGAATCCACAATTTAAACTAACTTGTATGGGGATTCTACCTATGTTGTGCCTACTCCATACTTGCTGTGTCTCTTAAGAATCTTCTAGGCACTTAGAAATAAAAACAATGAGATCCAAAGTCTCACCTAGGTTTCTCCTCAGCTAGGTGATTCCTTACTAAAGCACAGGGCTTTACTGTGGAGACAGAGGATGTTAAAGTAAGAAAAAAGTGGAGGGATTCTTAAGTCTATGTCAGGGATGATAACATATACTCTCAAGGAAGGAAATAACATTATAGGACACCTTATTGAATAAACCTGACTGGTTAAGCGGAAAGGCTCAGGCAATCAGACAAGGAATTGGGCATGGTTGAACCTAATTAGATAGATTGCATAGATTAGAAATATCTGTAATTATAGGACAGTTCCTAAAATATTTTTTCAAATGTCAGATTACTCCAGTGATGACCGACCACCCCAACCTTCCGGTTGGAGTCACAGGACATATGCCACAGACTTTTGAGTGCTCCTAGCGATTCAGCAGGTGGGAGACGACCGTGACGCCCAGCACTCCAGTGCAGCAACTATGTGGATGGCTCCCAGCGCAACCCGGAAGTACCACATTTTGCAGCCCCTCACACATCTCTTACGTGTTATCCAGATCCATATTATCCAGTGACCCCTTTGCCAGGCCAACACAGTTTTCCTGCCCATCTCGTGACACAGGCTGGGTTTGGAAGACATCCTTGAACTTCCTGAGAGCTGTATGGAACTCAGCCCTACAGGCCAGGCGGGACACGACTGCATTATTTACTTTTGCGGGGGAAAAAAAGAAATCTAGAAAGGGTATGTAATGGTTTCGAAGCAGGCTTTGCAAACCAATTCCACAATGAATGTATTTCACTTTGATCACCCCTTCTAGCCCATAACAGAATTGAGGCAGTATTTTGTTTTGCAGAAATTAGTACCTTCAAGACCTGCAGTGGATTTATTATTTCTGCTAGGGCTTGCACTTCCTTTCTGATCCACTGCTGTAAAATCCAGAGGGACAGAACAGCACAGAAAATTACTGCGAAGATGTAGTGTGACATAGGAAGAGTCAGACGCATTATGTGTGAACAATACAACAAAAGGAAAAGCCATCTGAAAATAAATGAAAAAATTAATAATCAAAAGGGTGTCTAATTCTTATCTGGGCACTTGTTTGCTCACTCTATGAATTAGCTATATCAGACCATGGCGTAAAGAGTTGGAAAGGACCCTGGGGCCCAGAACTCTGTCCTGCTTGAGGAAGCTGCCAGAACCAACTGTTCTGGGGAAAGAAACGGTGCCACTAGAAAACAAGTGAGGCATCGGAAACATAATTTTTCTCTTGCCTCATTCCTGGAACTAGGGCTCCACGACTTGAGGCCAAACCTCCAAATCCACTCCAAGCTTGGTCTTGTCACTGAAACGACCAATAATGGCATTTAAGTCACACAAGGCAACGGTCCTATAATGCGGGCATCAGGTACTGGTCAGAGACTTCAAATCACTGTGTAGAGATGACAAAACCGCTGTTGGGAGAGAATAACTTCCAATCACCCCAACATTAAAACCAGCAGCAGTATACGCTGCATAATGAGAGTCACACACGCACATGGAACAGAGAGACTTCATTGTTATGCATTTCCATGTAAACTGTGGCTTACAGTTAATGGGATACAGGCTCAAAGGATAATGTATAGAATTTATAAAATGAAAGCCTCAAAAAAAAAAAGCATTTTAGTAACTGAAACTGGTTTTCCGACTGCAAGCTACGAACACTTCACATAAAAATAGTCTATTCAGAAATTGCTGAGTATGTTGGAGAAAAACGGAGAATGACTGCACTTGGAGAATTTCATACTAGTTCGATCACTGATTCTTCAGTAAGCTATTTAGGACCACAGGCTAAACATTCTCCTGGAGCAGATGTATCAATCAAAAGCTAAACCTACTTTTAAGTAAATAAACAGTGCCTATTTTCTTCTCCAGAATGCTTGATCAAAAACCTGTCTTCTCTGACCATCTACTGCTTTGTGTTTGGTAGCTGACAAAATACTTCACTGATTCACACTGTAGCATGCGAGAGTTTTAGCAAGTCTAGATCTCAAATGCAGGTCAGTTTTTGCCACTGATGAAAGAAATCATCTACAGGATATATAGTAGATTAATATTTGTCAGGCTTTCCAAACAAGCTGGAAACCTATTCTTTCCTGTTCTTTAAAGAACCCTGTAACTTGTTTTCTTATAAGGGATAAAAAAAAATTCCAGAAACTAAGAGAGCAGAACAGAAAACCTATTTCTCACTCCTTGATAGCCTGGAGCTGTAACCAAGCTGGCAGGATCAACAGATTAAAAAAGAAAATTAAAAAAAAAAAGAAAAGAAAAGAAAACCTTGCTGCTGTAATTTCCACAAACAGTTTTTGATCCTGCCCTTATTTATGTCTTCTCTTCACGTAAAAACAATAAGATAGCAGAGGGTGCATCTCAGCTGGGAGGATCACCCAAGATGCATGTCCTCCTTGCTACAGCAAACAAGGACAGATAGCACCAACATGAGTGAAAAACAGTGACAAGCTCTGAAAGTTCCTTGGCAGCAGGGCCAGATGCAGCAAATAGGTGAGTGGATGGAGATGGCTGCCTCAAGACTCCTCCCGATCATTCCTCGGTGCAAGCCTACTCAGTGTAAGCCCACACAACCCAGAGATGCCTGGATTACTGTACCTGTTGAGAAGAAGCATTTGAGCTGCCCACAAGCAGCACTGCGCTGAAGCTAACTGGCCCAGCTAAGATTTAAGGCAGAACTTCTACCAACAGCGGTCTCCACAATCTTGCACAACCACGATTCATCTCCTCAATGCAGTTCACCCTGAGCGCTGGAGAACAGCTGCGCAATTAAGCCTACATTATAATAAATACCTAATAGAAGGCCCTCCCGGTGGCTATCTCCAGCTTTCTGCAAGGGGCCTGAACCTCCAGGGCTCCCTACAGACCTCTGCGACTTGTAGCCTGTTCACTCCCTGACCTAATTCTTCTAAATGGCTCACCCATTTTGGCTGACAATTTCCTCTAAATGCCCAGACACCAAGCAATGGAAAATTTCCTTTAAATGCCAGTTAATGAGCAATGGAAAATGTCATCAGGATGAAGTTATGCAGGTACTTAAGTGCTCTGCTGGATCAGGCTTTTGTGAGCTACATTATAGTCTCACATTTTCTGTATGTGATAAATAAAATTTTATTTTTTCTGCGTGTGATAAATAAAATAAGATGAACTTCTATGATAAGAGAAAAAAGAGATATATGTAAAATATTTTTAAAGCTTCTATGGTTCTCGGATGGCATGGTGGAGAGAAAGAGAATGCAAAAGCATAAACTAGGCTATGCTTGTGTAAATTACTCTGACATTTAATAACTCTCTACTAAAAATTCTCAAGCAAGGCTACTTCAGATACTTTTAAGGTCATGTATCATTTACTGTCTAGGTCAATTTATGCATCAGCAAAAATTGCTGCAAACCCTTCTGGACAGCACTTTAAAAATAAAGGTACATGTAACTGGTTTGGCCGTATTTTCCTCACCAGTTTCTGCTCTGCGAACATTTCACCTTGGAAAATTAAAGTAACATTCTGTAATAAGTGAAGTCAGTATGATATTTCAAGGCAAGCCAAGGACAAGCTTTACAGCGGTGCTATCAAAACGCTATTAATAAAAGCAAAAATACACACACGATGCCTGTGTTCCCCTATGGATGGAAAAAATTATTGTCCATTAAGTTAACATTTCAGATACCCTCTCAGTTTTTCCTAAGGTCCCAAAGAAGGCAAAACCCCACGTATCTCTTGCAGTTAAGTTGTATAAACTATCTGCTATCATGTGGTGCTCTATTTTAGTAAACACTCCAAGGCTTCTTAAGAGAATATATGGATGAGTAGGACTTCTGGGGGGAGGGAAAGGCAGAAAACTGTGGCTAGAATTTTCTACTTTCATAGCTAATATTTATACCAGTGTCTTCGTTTATTTTTGTTTGGGTCCACAGGGCTGTATTTATAAATGCATCTTACATTAAGCATCTAAATTCACTCCTCTGTTTATACAGTTCCCCTCACTGCCATATCCAACGGCCCCGTGGTTATCCCCAGGACAACCTGTGCTGCACTAAGTACTATTATCTCCTTTTGACAGATGTGAAGCCAGACATACCAGGCTATGCCTGCGTGGCACCAGGCAGCGCTGCACACAAACATCCAAGCCGGCTCTGAATGGGCAAAGCTGGCTAGAATATAGCAGGCACCTAAGTTACCTCACTTGGTGGCCTGAGCATCCCTGAGCCACACTCCACAGAAACACATGACAAGGCTGAGAGCAGTCTGCACCATGCAAGGAAGCACGGCCAGAGACTCCTGTGCTCGGGACCACTGAAATTTTCTGAGGGCTTCTGCAGAACTGTAGACTTAATGCAGTAGTGTTATAAACTGAGGTTTTCACAGGTTTAGAAAGCCCATGAATTTTCTTAATTCCCGTCTTGCCAGAAGCCTAACTGCAGAAGCAGAGGAGAGACTGTGACCTCTTTGTCATATTTCCTTCGATACATAGTACAGGTAGCTAACCAGCTACATACACTCTTTATTTAACTATTCCTTCTCTAGGAGAAAACATGTTTATGTTTAAAGTACCATATAATTGTACTGAGTTGTACAGTTTGTAGCCAGACCATTTTTTAAAACAAATTATCCAAGGAACATATGGCTTGGAGAATTTGTCTTTTCACCTGGTCTCAGGTGATCAAAATGCACGCACACATGTTTTCATTGGAGACAAATTATGAGAGCATGTGTGTGTTTTGTTTACTTCTTTTTCAGTCCCTAAAAAGAAATCAATTTTGAAATGAAAATGTAGTTTGGGAACAAAAAAAAGCGCAAGACAGCTCACTTTGAAAATGTCACAGAGCATTTTAAAACATTCTGGAAAAAGGCAGTATTTGTCAAATTAATTTCATTATTTATAATTACTTCCGCCCTCTCACAAATCTTGTTATTTTCATTGAAATCACTATTATTGATTTTCCCTTTTTTCCAGCCCTAATGGGAATGAAAGATGAACTATAACATAAAGTCACTTCTCTCTGTTAGTTACATTGATGCAGTATGTTAGATATTTTCAAAAACCTCACTAATGATACATATGCTTTCCAAGATAAAAATGCTCACTTTAAAGCGCTGTACTCAAAGAACTTTAAAAAGAAGCCTTTTTTTCACTCTTATTTTCAATGCTCTCATTACACCGACAGGAAATTCTTAAGAAACTTCTCAGATCTTCCACATTTATTTAATTTCATTTTTAGATCCTTGTCTCATAAAATGCAGTGACAAGTTCTCGGGCAGCTTATAAGTACTATTAAAAACTAAACTAACTTTATTATTCATTCCATCTCCTCCATTATTTATCCCTCTTGATTTGAAAGTAGGACTCACAACTGCAGCACTAGGAGTTTGCTGCAAGTCCCTGGAACACAGCCTCACCACAATTAGCCATTGATCCAGCTGCTCGTACCATGACAAGGGAACACAAACTCCCTCCTCCTTGAGGCTACAGCTCCACAGAGAAACCCTTCAACATCACAGACTTCTACCACTACATTTCTTAACCTAATAAACAGCATCGGCTCAGAGCTAAGTTCTTAAGCTGCAAAGAGATATACACACTTTTATTCATGAGGAAAGTGGCAGATTTTTTTCCATCATGAACCTGTTCAGCTTCTCTGTACCTGCAGATGATCTTTTTTGGCCAGCTTTTCGTAACGCAACTTTGCATCTTTCATGCACAACTAGATACACGTTAAATTTTTTTTTTTTTCAAAATGCTTTTACTGTATGAGTAAAACCTCACTAATGTGTGAGAGACCTGTGGCAAATATTCACATTTTATGAATGAGGTTAGTGAACAATGAGCTTGGAGAAAGGAAAAAATCAAAGAAGGCACTGCAAAATTCATAGCACTCAGTGAATGACAGATGTCACTTAATTTTAATTATTGATCACAGTATTTCAGACTACGCTTGTTAACATGCAGCACTGCGAATGCAGACCACTTTACAGTACCCAGCTGCTAAGAGGTCACTAAGAAGTGGTAGAAGACATCAAGATTTTAGTAGCACTTTCTGCTAAGCGTGTTGATTTCAGTCTTTTGTTATCCCTCAAGTTCTATCTACCACTACTGTAAAAAGACAGATTCTTCTCGGTACCCATTTTAACTGGAAACAATAACCAAATAATCTACATTGCGTCTATGGCATAAAGAGTCCAGGTAAGCCACTTTTGTACCTGCGTGGTGCATATGGCTTTTAATTACTGTATTGCAAACCAATGGTCAGAAATGTCATGCGCACCTTCACCACACTGTACTAATGCAAAGATCTACCTGTGTTAGTACGATTACAAGGCAGCAGCCATGTTCAGATGTCTATGATGGATTTTGGAGCCTAATTCTTCATGCATTTTTTTAGTGTTTTGCCCAATTTATATTTGACAGCTATGACATAAACAAGTTGATTATTCAACTTTCTGCGATTAACTGTGACGTTTTAACCATGTATATAACACAACTTCTCTGTTTAATACATAGTACTATTTTCCTTGTTAAAAAGTCTTCTATTACCTTTAATTACACTCATGAGAATAGAGAAATGAAAAAACATATTGTTTGCCTGAGGCCTCGGGTGGAAAGAGGAGGTTTCACAACTCAGGGAATCACTCTGGTGACTTTAAAAGTTCTCATTCTCCCAATTCTAGACTGAAATCCACCGTTCGCATCTTATAAATGAAGTGTGATCCCAAAGTACTCCAAATCAATTAAATGAAAACCAGGCAGGCAACCAATATACAAGTAGTTCATTCCTTGACCTATAAAAGAGTTCACTCCTTGACCCTATCTGCTTGGTAGATATATTTATACATTTACATTTAGTAGCTCAGGGAGGAAATAACCACCTTATGATGTAATACATACATGTGTTTGCATTTATATTATTTTAAATAATGATGTAATATCACAGTCCCTCAGGAACCTCATGTTAATTTCTTACCTACCAAATCTGGCTTCTGTAAGTTTCTCTTTGCCAGCCTCAATTCCCCTGCGGGGCTGAAAGGCTTTATGCCTGTCTGGGCTTGCCTTCTCGTTAAGGACACTGACCGCACACCCCTCTTCCGAGGACCTCAGCAGAGACCGGGCCCGGTACAGGGCGGGCGGGGCGCGGACTCGGAGCCACAGGCGAA